TTTTTGCTATGGAGGTCTTTCCAAGTCAGCATGACCTTAAAGAGCGCGTCTGCTGCCCCTCTTGATCTAGTCTCACTTTTGCGATCGTAAGTTCCTGGATTCCGAGTGTGCACTGGCGGTGGCCAGCAAACGAGCCCGCCCTGTGCGGCAGCGCTTCAAGAAAATGAAGTCCACCCTGCACCAAATGAAGCTTAGGGTTTTCATCCTGGAAAGGAGGACTGACTTTCCGTAGATCTGAGGTTTCGAAAGTTTCTGTGCCTTGTTTTCGTCTTGTTTCTTTCTATGTACCTTTGAATATCGTCTAAGGGTACTCATGTAACTTGTAATGTCGATTAGATGAATAAAGCTGAAACTTTTGCCAAGTTCTTTTTCTTTGTAATTTTTTGCGACTTTCCCCATCCTGTTTCTTCTTGCTTTGACCCGCCACGCATAGCTTGGGCACTCACGCATGCCTGGAGCGTCCGTTCGTGGGGGCCACGAGCCTACAACAGATGTGTCGCTTGGGATTCCTTCACGCGTGGCATGTTGGCGATTCTCCAGAAGGGCACATGGCGTGAGGGTATGAACCAATTCATGTGGCGCTTCGTCATTGGAACATTAATTCACCCGTACGATGTTTCCTCTTCGCAAGTCTATGCCTTATTAATGTTCTTTTAATTAATGTCTTTAATGCGACTTATTGCCTTCTTTCTTAGGTAGGTGGTCGACATCTTATAAAGCCAACTGCTTCCCTTTCTCCCTCTCATCTCTGGTGATGGGGCGTAAACGGAAGCTTTCTTCTCATCAAGATGTTCCTAGTGGAAGTGATGGCTTTCCCCTTATGTTGCGTCCACACAACTATGTCGACAATGCGTGCAAGTATACACGATTCGTCGATTGTAGTACGTAACGAGGTCGTATCCACATGAATTTTTTGTTGTATTTTAACGATAAAAGCTTATACCAACAAATAAAAATATACAGAGATTGGGTGTGGATATTGTCTAGAAAAAATAAAATAAAGTAATAACAAGACGACAGAAACTTGTAAGAGACAATAGTTCCAAGCTGTCAACACAAGAAAGCAGTAGCACAGAAAGGGATAACAGGGAATAACAGATATGGAAAAGGCGGGGGAGATTCAGCATACTTTCACATGTTATCAACCTACCCTCTAGTGTAACTAACACCTATTAGTGCCCAGCTTGACTCGGTTCCCTTCCGAGACACCCCAAACATGCGTAAGTACAACTCCCATTACTAAATACCCAAGCAATAAACCCAAGCTATAGACATGATTAGGGGATCCCATTACTGAGTATCCTTATAGCTATAGAAAAGCGCTAATCACAAGCAAAACAAGTCAGCACCCACAAGCCCTTCCGGGTCAATATCGAAGCTAGCATACACGAAACAGCGCCCAACAGTAATGCGAAGAATTGAGAAATAAATTTATATTTGCTTAAAAATAAATGTAGCATGCTAGAGGTTCGGTCTCAAGTAAGTTACAACATGTAAATCTCCCCCAAAATGGGATTTAACTTATAATGGGTGAAGAAAACAAAATGAAAGAAGAAGAAATATAACCCATAGCAGAAAAATAGCTAAATGACACAGAAGAAGAAGCAGTCAGCTCGTTCCAGCAGGCAAGCTTCCCCTTTCTAGCATCAACTCTCCTCCCGAAAATGGGTTCATTCCGTTCTCTTGTCTTTTCAGCTCCCAATTTTTGTCTCTTTTGGGATCTGCGTGTCTGACGACTAGGGCAAGATACCCTTTAAATATCGGGTCCCGTTTTTGGGGCACCCGACTGGAGATTGTATGGACATAAGTGAATCCCGTGTCTTAGATTTGCTCATACTTTGGAAGATGCTATTTCTACTCAGCCTTAACTTCCTTCTACTTCCCAATCTCAAGCTTAGCTTCTCCTAGAGAGTCCTTTCTCAGACTCCCTTTCATTAGTCTAAACCTTTAACCTTTGCGCTGCCAACTTGGGTTTCCTCAACCATGGGCTACTTGCCCTTCCTAATCTGCAGCGTCTTTATGCTCTGGATACAGGCTACTAGCCTTCCTTTATTGTGAGTTTTTTTTTGGGCTGAATTACAGGATTAAAAGTGTTACTAAAGATTTAAAAGCTGAAGGTTCACTCCCCCCAAACTTAAAAGGTTGCATTGTTCTCAATGCGACTAAGGACATCTACATTATAATGCTCTAGCACGCCCCTAAACTTAAAGTGAAAGTGAATTGTGAAGGATAATGAAATTCGCTCTTTAGAGATGTTTTTTAAAATATGAAGGGCTAATGCTAGCAACTAAGGGGGACTAAGAGAAATCCAGGCTAACTATACAAAGATAAGAGGTAGCTTTGGATAGCTGGCCTTTGAAATTCTTCTCTAGGGTAAGCGCTACTTGGGGTCAGCACTGTTGGAGGGATGCTAAATCATGGGTGAGCAAAAGAAATTTAAAATGCAGAAATTAATAAAAATGTGTAAAATAACATGAAAGGGGAGGTCAATTTTTGGTCAAGATAAAAGGACAGGGACTTCCTGCTGTCGGTCAAGCAGAACTTTCTTCTTTCTCTAAAGAGTCGCCCATAGGTTGATCTTCCTCTTCAAAACTTCCGGAGTCTCCAACAATTCCTTCAGACGGGCCGACATAGCGGATGAGGATGGGGCTGCTGCTTTAAAATGCTCCAGCGCTGCCAGGATACTCGCATATCTTTTCTTCGCCTTCTCAGCAGATGCAGACTACGCCTCCTCCATTCGTGAGAGCTGCTTTTGCATTTTTGCGAGCTGGGCCATCATTTCATTGATGGCTACATTCTTCACAGCTCCACGACGAGTAGGGTCCT